TTTTTTTTTTTATTTTTTCGAAAAAAAATGATATCAAAAATGTACGGCGAAAAGACTATCCAAACTTTTTCCTTCGTTTCACTCTCGTTATACGTACGAATATTTGATGAATATAGATGGAAACACGGCGTGTGCATCGATTCGGCGGTGAGAAGAGGAAGCCGCAAAGAGGCAGGAAAATTAGTGAGGGGAAAATCGACTTTTCGAATCTGGGAATCCTCGAGCCGGAAACTGGCGGCGGAAATCATCGGTTGCGCGAAAGAACGAAGGTAATAAAGTAGAACGATCAAACTATCTACTATAAAAAATTTTCAATTGGAAAAAAATATCGGTACCAATTATTCGTTTACCGAATTTAAAAAATTTTCCATTCTACAAGAATTTCCATTACCAGGAAGAAAATTTGAGAAAAAATTCGAACGAATCTCGCTTACTTTGCAATCAATTGTCCCCCTTTATTTATGATAAATTTTTACCCGGAATGGTATTTCATTATCTTAATTACAAGAGCGGAATCGAGTTGGAAAACGATTAATCAAGAGGAATTTATCGGGGATGGAAGCGGTCGATATCTGAATGGCCATTCACCAAGGATTTATCAATGGCAAACTGAACAGGTACGAAGAACCAGGTGGCGATTTCCGATTTTAGTCCTCGGATCGAGAGAGTGTCAATATTTGGTTAAAGAAAAATCGATTTGTAATAATGCATTAAATCTTGGCTAATGTTTATTAATTCCTCTTGAAGAAAGCGTCTCCAATATCGATTCTCCAATATCAATATTTATTTTCGCTTCTTGCCAATTAAGGTGAAATAACAGTTGTGCTCACAATTTTCATTCTTTTCAGATTTCAAGGAATGATGAGAGGAAATGTCAATTTTTTAAAAATAATTTATATATGTTTAAAATCTTCTTTCTTTTTTTTAATTTTCACTTGACAAATACGTATTCGTATCGATTTAATTAATTATGGTCACAATTGAAACGATAAAGAGATCTTTTTATAATTATGAATCGAAGAATGAATTATCTTACCGATTTTCTTCATCGACTCCTTCGGGATGATGTTGAACTAATTTTGAGTAATTAAAACTTTTCTTTTTTTAGCTCGTATCGATAATGAGAAATATAACAATGGAGATGGTGTATTGGATTAAATTTGCCATCGAATTTGAATGTCAAAAGAAGATAATTAACTGATTATTAACCGGGGTGTGTTTTAATTGAACGAGTGAATAATTAAATACCTAACCTAACCGATTATATCCGATTAATTATTAGAATATCGAAATTCACTAATTTCATCGCGTGTATTTTTTAATGCTCTTCATTTGACGCCTTGAAAAAGAAAAAGAAAAAATCTAAATCGCGGTTAAGACGGTGCTCCACAATTGACCCGATTTTCAGATCCATGTCTTAACTTTCCTCTTATAAAGCCTTAAAATAAGTTCTCGTACACCGTGAAAGCCCTTATACTTATAAAAACATACGTAAGCAAGAAAAATTTTGTATCTTGGGAGGGAAACTGTAACAGAAAATTCTGAAAAATCCATGGAGATTGCATCAATATTGAACGTAAAATGAAATTCCTCCCTATATTTAAAACTGCTCGACATCCTCCTGCTACTCCTTTATAGTTTTTCCTGTCAAATATTTTTCGAAATATTCAAAATTAAAAAATCCATACTTCTATTCTCTTCTATTCCTGAAATTTTATTTTTATATTTGATCCGAAACAATTAGACCACAATTACGTCAAAATGATCGACCAAATTTTTTTGGAGAAAAGTTTGAACGACAATTATAATTGTTGTTTCGTGCATTTTGTTTAAATTATACTTTTGATTCCAATTAACTATATAATTTAGACTATTAAAATCTATATAATAATTTCATGCCAAATCGAAAAATATTACATTATATTTCATTTCGCGTATTAAATATTTCTGCACCTTACATCTCGTGTATTTTCGTAGATATACATCCAAACATCCGCAATCTTTTTCATCTCGCGTAAAAAGTATCGTAAACTCGTCGTAAAAAACCAATTGGTGCAATCAAGGTAACACGTATTCGATATATAATCTAAACGAAATACACGAAACAACAATCGCATATCTTCAAACATCCTCCAAACATCCGCACACTCATCCTCGAAAAAAAGTAAAATAAATAACTCGTCGAAAAAAAAAGAAAACAACCATGGTGGATACGTAATCGTTATCTGTGAAAAACTCGAGAAAGTGTTCGCGAAAATTCGATGAAACGCCGCGTTTCCAGATAATTTCCCCTCGACCGACCGTTTTTCCAAAGTGTCGCGCGATTATTTTCCTTTGCCGTGAAAATAATCAACGAAACCTCGTGGTTTCCTCGTAGCGGGGCGAGGGGTGTATAATATAAACCTTTCGGGGAAGAGCCGTTTATCGTGCGTGATTTAAAGCCGGTTTGAAAAAAAAAAAAAAACCAGCCATTCTCCGCCCCTGCGTATCGCTTTTGTTAGCTAAAAGCTAAAAGAGACGCCGATCTCTCGCTCGTCCTCCGATCTTTCCTCGATCCTCTCTTCGATATAACTGTGATATGATCGAAATGCTGCGGACAATGGCGAAGTGAAAATTGGAGATGAGATCACGATCATCGATCTTTTAAAATGTAGCAAGAGATAAAAAAAAGTAATGGTGCAAAAAGATAACTAGGAATATTTATAGAAAAAAATTGATTAATGATATTTGAATAATTTTAATAAATGGGAGGGAGTGGGTAAAGGCAAGAAGATTTAATTTTTCTTTTTCTTTTCTTTTTTTATTTTTTTTAATATTATTCATCATTTGAACATAATAAATTTAACAGATATAGATATTTAAAGCTCGATTAACAATAATTTGTAATAATTTGTTTGATTATAAATTTATCGTATGCAGGAACAATTCTGCTGTATAACGATAAGCTATATATCCAAATATAGAAAATTATGAACATCGTTATATAAAACTTATGCAATAATTTTATACGATATATAAGATAAACGAGTAATATACCGATTAAATTATTAAAAAAATAAATGTACAATATCGTTTTCATTCCCTGAGGAAAGTTTCGATCGGAAAATAGAGGGAAAGCTTTTTCCAGCTTCTCCCACTTTTGTACTCTCAATTTGTACAAAAAAAAAAAAAAAAAAAGCGACGTTAACTAACGTGGCAGTAAGATAGAATTTTTGAGAGTGTTTGCGAAGAAGGAAGAACGAAAAGTGATCCTAAAGATTAACGAAAGTTCAAATTAAATTTAAGAAAGAAAAAAAAGAAGGATAGAATTTGTTGTGGAAAAAAAAAAAAGAAAAAATTACAAATACCCTTCTTTGACATTTGCAAAATTTCAAAAAAATATGATTAGACCGTAAATATTTATACATTCTTCGAATTGTGCGAAATATATATCTAAAAATCTCCATCTTTTTCTACATATATTTATCCTAAAATAACAAATTTAACATAAACATCCTCGATATATACATATATCAATTTGATTTCCGTTATTCTATACAAGATATAAAGTTACCGTACTACTTGTATCGTGAAAAGCAGAATGTAAAAATATATAATAGCTCTGTGTAGAAAAAAAAAAATACAAAAGATATATATAAATATATTTCTTTGGATCGATTAGAACTTATGAATAGAATTTGAACAATCAAGGTATCGAGCTGACCGCGAACGTGGACGTTAACGTGCTGTTACTCACGCTTTTCCTCATTTTGAACGGATCTTGAAGGGAGGCGGTAACTCGGCTAAACTTTTTCTTCTCGTCGAAGCCTAGCCGTTTCTTCAACGCCTGATGAACCCGATGTTTAACCACGAACAGGATAAATATCCACAAGCCTTGGAGACAATTGAACGTGTCCGTCAGATAGAAAAGTTGGTTCTGGTATTTGAAGGGGGCGTAATTTTCGATCAGGGCCGAGACGATCTCTCCTATCCAGGATATACCCATCACGATGAACAGCTTCACGTTTATGATGAATCTGGATTTTTAATAATAATAATTAAAAATAATTATTAATAATTTTAATTATAATTATTTTGATGATAATTAAGGTGAACGAGAAGTTGATATAATGTAATTTTGGGAATATAAAGTAATATTGTAATGATTTATATTCGATAAATCTTGATATTCGTCATCGATAATTTTCTATTGGAAAAATTTCAATTTGAAAGTTCGATTATAAAATTACATTTATCGAGTGAAATATATTATGCTTGTGTCGAATCACCATTTCGAACTCACTTGGATTTGTTGGCGAGAAATTGTTTGTTCCTTGGATCTGATGGATCGGTGGTAACCTTTTTTAACTCTGCTTTCACCTTGCTGCACTGTTTTGCCGTCAAGAAGAAGAACACCATGTTTGTTAGAAGCTGGATGGCGACCACACCTCTGAAGTAAATAATTTCCCCGTGTCCTGAAAAATTTGCAATGTTGTTAATAATTGCACACACGTGCAAATGAATCTTTGAACTCTGATTTTAAAATTATATAAATACAAATACGCGATAAATATTTACAGAGATCGAACAATCGATATCGTGGCTCGACAATAGAAAGGAGGAAGAAGGATTTAGGTCGACCTTTTACAAGAATATCCATGCCAATCAGTCTCGAACAGGCAGTGTACGTGTGTGTAGATGACGGTTCGACGTCGAGACTGGCAAAGCTAGTTCCAGCTTATCGTTATTGGAATTCGACGAGGGTACGTACACAAAGGAAAAGTTGTAAAAATTGTTAAAAAAAGGACAAATGAATATATATAAATTTCGAAGAAAAAGTGAAGAAAAGTATAAAAAGAATAACAACGATTACAGTCGTTTTCTTCTTTTTTCATTGATCAGTTATGTAACAAAAATTAAGAAACAAACTGATCGTTTGCAAATTTATATTTCTATTAATTTATAATAAATTTATATTTCTTCTCCGGGTTATAAATAGATTGGAATTAAAAATAACAGTAGAAAGATTTATAGTGTTCAATGAGGAATATGCTTGTATAAAGACAAGGATTAAAAATATATATTAACTTACAATATCAATTGTCAAATTTTTCATTATTCATTCATTTATCTTGCTTACTAATTTATATTCATATAAAAATTGTAAATTAATATGTATATATTGTATTTGGAAATTTTATATCATATTTTATGAACGATTATTGCAACAAATTAATAATATATCATTCTTAATCGGGTAAAATTAAAATTGTTTCTACAAAACAATTTTAGATTCTACGGAACAATTGATAAAAATCGTAAATTATAGAAGCAATATTATGTTCTCGGAATTGCCAATCATCTCGGAAATAAAACCGATAATTTACGTAAGATATTATCTCAGTTTCAAAGGAATCGTTCAAAAGAACTACCTATACCGTCCAATTTCGATGAAACTTGGATTATTTAATCGATTGACATCATAGCTCGGCCAGAAAAACGCGAAAGTTTTATTGAAAATTGAAAGAAATCTGTATGTAATTTGTTTAATTGTTGATCAACGAGAAAGAACCAATTGAAAAAGAGCCAAGCTTTATACAAGATCGATTAAATTTCGAATTTGAAATAATTTTTTGTGATCATTTTCAATGTTGATGGCTCACCTTTGAACCAGCAGTACTCGTTAAAATGAGGACGGAAATTATTTGGCAGAATTAAAATCTGATCGTCCAGGATGCCGAAGACCGTGATGAACATTGGCAGACCCCACGCGTATAGGCAATACAATAGAAACGTCTTGCCGTGATTTTGATCTCTGGTGAAATTACCCTGCAACCTCCTGGAAAGAGAATATTCATTTTTATTTAAAAGTATCTAAATTTTTATCTAAAAATATCTTTGAAACGTTCGACACGTCCATTTTTCTTTTTCCATATTTTCTTTCAATTTTTATACGAATATTTTGAAAATTCTTAAGGATATTTGTGACGTTAAGAATTAATGAGGGTTTTTGATATTAGCAAAATATTGGATTTAATCTCACTATATTTTTATATAAATTAATATAATAAAGTTTTAAATTGACAAAGACATACATACAAATTGTAATAAACTAAAATTGGCGACAAGAGCAAACGAAGAAGCGTTTGAATAGATAATAATCAGAAACGAGTTCCATTGTGTAAGAATATTAAATTATCCGTAATTACGATATTGTTACTATAATCCAATGAATATCTTTGAAATCTTAATGTGAATCGCGAGATAACGAAATTTTTTATTTAAAAAAAATATTATTAAAGATTCAACAACATTAAGAAGAATTATCAAATTCTATTCAAATTCTACTTTAACTCAACTCTGTTTAATTTAATTAAAAAACGCGAGGATTTAAAAATATCGTCTATAAGAATCCTAATTTTAAATACCGATACAATAACACAGAGACAGAAGCTTTATTTTTTTTTTAAACAAATCGCACGTTCGAAAACTAATCGATAACGTTAAATCTGCACAACTTTTGATTGATCAACGCGTAAACGAATCGAAATAATAATATTTCGTTTCCATATTGATACATTGGATGCCAAGGGAATGGAAGAATTTTTGGCATGAGACGAAACAGATGCGAGATATAATTGTCGATTTATGACTCCTTTCAGTTAAATCGAAAAAATTGTTGTAGTTCTTGGAATCGCGAACGTAATGAATAAATGATTATTACTTACTGTTATCTATTTCTTAAACGTGTCTTATCTCGTATATCTATCACAATATATATATTCGTAATTATTAAAAGAATTGATCGATAATTATTTTGAAAGGAATATGTTTTAATCAAACTTTTTATTTCTATTATCAAGAAAATTCTTTAGAACAGAGAATTTAAATGGAAGAAATTTCGTTTTTATTCTTACAAAAATAAATCCCTTCCTGATCGATAAAAAGAAAAAAAAAAAGAATTAAGTTAATTCACATGCCACTTCACGATAACACGAGAAATTTGCCCGATTACGAAGAGATTATAAATATATCCCCATTGATCGGGATAAAGAAAGGGAATGAGAACATTATGAATGGAATACCAATTTTCGGGGAAATATGGATGAAATAATTCGGCAAAGTTAACGAGAAAAGCGGATGGTGCCAAGACAACGATTCTCAATTCACGTAGATCTATTTTCTCCGGTATATTTATAAATTTACTAGCCAAGAAACACAAACTTCCTGCAGCCTGTTGAGATGAGAGATTATATTCGCGAGAACGTTCGTGTTCTTAGGAAACAATTGAAAGATTTATTTTATAAGAAATTATTCGATTCAAGCTTCTTGAAAGTATTAACGTAATTAAAATTTTGCAAAGATAATTCTTCAATTCGATCTGAAAGAAACATTGAAACGAAAAGAAAAAGAAAAAATAATTAAAGATAAAATCGATTCAATCTGAGATTGGATTCCGTTTCTTAAACGGAAGTTTATTACTATTTTTTTTTAGATAGATAGAATTAAAAATTAATGAAAGTTGATCGAATTAATAGGCTTTTTCTAAGGATAACGAATAATTAATAATTAACGGATATAAATTTTAGGTTTGTATAAATGATTAACTAAAAATTCCATATTGCCAAAAATACCACGAATTTCTTTAATCGATAAAATAATTGAAATCATTTTTCGATTAGATCGCGAAAGAAAGAAAGAAAAATAAGCTAGATTAATTCGAAGATCGACGATTAAACCGAAGCAATCTCGCAATTTCACGCCGCTTCGTACCGCATAATATGTCTGAACATTTCGCGAAGCGACAGCGCGGAATTAAATCAGTGGCTCGACGTCCGCCATTCGATCGAGAATTATAGCGGGAGAGAGCCAAAAAGATATCCGTTTAGACGGGGAAAGAGACAGAGGATGAAGAGACGAAAAAGAAGAGATAAGAATAAATAACGATAAAAAAAAATAAAAATAATAAATAATGATAAAATATCGCGAAAGAATGATAACGAGAATTGCGTAGGCAATGAAAAATAACTCCATTCTGCAGTATTTAGTCTACGCTGTATGATACTATGAATCACCCTATGACGAGAAAAAAAGAAAAGAGAAATAAAAGTTGATTTGACTAGCCCAGTAGTATTGAAAAATTTATTCCAGTTACAGAATTTCACGTAAAATATCAGTTGAACGACAGTTTATCGTAGTTTTAACAGCGGACAGCGTAATTTGTAAATTAAATCTCGGTAAACATATTAACGTGACGCGGATGGAAGGTGGACTGAATTATTGTTGTTCCGTTGTTGGCGAACGTGACGATACTAGGAAATTAGTAACCGGAGAACAAAATGATATTCCTCAAATTACGGCCAAGATAGACTGGATCGGATAATTCTATCACTGTGAAACGATGTTTATCGACCGAGTTGGCGCGCGGTGATTTTATCGATCGATCGTTCGTTCGTTCGACGATGGAGCAAAAATCGTTGTGGTGTGAGAATGGAAAGTGTATATATCGTTCGTATTATTAGGTTTTATAAAATAGAGAAAAATTGGGGGGAAATAAATAGAATCTTTTGATTTGTAGATATTTTTATAAAATCGATTTACGTGAAAAATTTAATCAAAATCTTTTGAAAGAAGAGAAGAGAAAAGATGGGGAAAAATGTAAGAAGTTAGTCGAAACAACGCGTCTAAGGTAAATGGCTAGTAACATCTTACCCGAATGTTCGCCATATATCGAAGCACATGATGTTCAACCAGGAAAAAGCTGACAGGAAGGAGAAGAGCAACAAGAATCCTGAAAATGAAGATAAATGGTTCCTTATAATAGTTGTAAGTTTCTTTTTTTCCGTTGTCAATTAGTGATGTAGTTTCTTAAATAATTTTTTTAGTAATACAGTTTCGAACATTTATTTGCATTTTCTCTCGTCTTATCGAATTTTATCGAATTAATTATAATAAATAATATAATAATAAGTTTCGTATCATATATTTTATCTCTATTTTTTTCGAATAAAACATTTTAAACGAGTTTTTTCAAACGTGTCCAAATTTCAAATTCGGATTGTGAACGTTACGATGAATAGATACAATTGATAAATTTTGGTATTTACGATGACATGTAATAGTTTTATTGTTTGTTTGTTTTTCGTTTGTTGTTGTTGTTTTTTTTTTTTATTTTATCGATATTTTTAATATGATTTCTATTTTTAGCTCTCGATTTCTATTATTTCATTCTCGCTCCCAATTTTATTCGATAGAGCGCGACATGGAAATTTTCAAACTTTCGTTTTTGTTTAAAATTGATATTATCAATGAAAATAGTGAATTTGAATCACGAAAGAGAAGAGATAATTATTAAAAAAAATTAGATTTTTATTTCTCTACAATTTTCTTAGATTAAAAAATTTCATCATTTTTCTCGTAACCACTCTCTCGAACACATTAAATATTAAAATTCCTCCGTGACTTCGAAGACATTTACATTGCTTTCTTAATCGTAAGTTTTATAATTTTCACTTTCAGTTTCCGAAGTTGAGATTAAATATAGAACTTCCTACTTATTTATTATTCTATTTAACGCGAAAAATATATTCTTATAAATCTGATTTATAACGTAGATAATTATTTATTGATAATCGAAAAATTCTAAATATTATCGCGAAAAATGAATATTTTAAAGGAAAAATAGATCGAATTTAACGCAACTTCTCGTTCAATATCGAGTCAAAGTGATATTTTCAAAGGTGACTAAAGGAATTACACGGAACACTAGAATTCTGAAAATAACCCATGAAAATATCCAAGCATGATTGCATACAGACCGATCGAATGCGAATTGTATATTTATGAAATATGTAGAAACCATTTTTACGTGACATTAATAAAATAATAAACGATATGATTTCTTTCACAAACAAGATAGATATTTTTGTATATGTATTTCTCTTCGATAATCTCTTTGATAATTCTAATAATTGTTAATATTGTTAATTCTATTCAAATTTTTCTTCAAATTGAACTTTAATTTTATCTAATTCGTATTTTAATTTGATCAAGAAACAAATATATCATAAATCAGTAATACGTACCTGATGCACAGCAGAATACGATATTATTCTGTTTAATATCTCTCAACCAAGGTAATATAGAAATGCAAAGATATCCTATCATAAGACTCGATACGTGGGACATGAGAGTTTTTCCATGCAGATTTTGAAGCACAGGCAGGCAAATGTAAACGATCAGAGTTAATAGTAAGAAAATGAAACTGATGCCTTCCAAAATAGTCTTAAGTATTTTTCTGAAAAAGAAAACGAAGAAATATTATAATCATATATAATATCGTCGTATGAAATTTTTCGATATTATTTCTCCTATTTATCCGGATGTATCTAAAATATTCATAAAGAATCTATTGATCAAATCTTTGAAGAACAATAATCGTAAGAATAATAATAATAGCAGATATATATAACAATAACAAAATTACATATAATAACATCATATTAATTAATTGCGAAATACAAATATCTTTACCCAAATGAATTACATAAAATACATTTAAATAAAATTGAAATAACGATTTAAAGGAAGATTCCATTTCATTATAATTGCAATCTCTTCCAATAGACGAAATGACCATCTTAGCCATTATTAATTATCGCATCAGAATTATCTCCGAATTCGCTCTCAACAAACGAAAAATTCACAATTGCGATTACGATTCGAACGTGCGTAATTCGTTAATTAACTCGTCTTCGGCTCGCGCCTTCTCGCAACTCTCTGCGAATCTACGAGCGAATGGAGGCTCTGGAATATCAATGAAAAAAACCGATTGGAGAAAAAGAGAGAGAGAGAGAGAAAGTAAAGTCTCTTTGATAAAACGAATCGTCCGTCGAACCCTTCTCGCTTTTCGGAATTTCCACCGAGGAGACGAACTTTATCTCGCGGTCGCTTAAAGTAAGAGGAACATGGATACAAAGGGAATCATGCGCAAGTATCCCCGTTATCTGTCTGCGAATATAAATCGACTCATTCCGGCTCCACCCTCCATCTCGCCGTTAACAGACTCGTTAACATTGGTTGATCTTTATTTATGCTTGAATTAAGGAAATTCCTCGGCTCGCGAAATCTGTCCAAATCTAAAGCGAATCATCATTTGACTATGATGGAGAGAGCGTACGATTTTTAATTTTAATTTTAATTTTTGAGGAATTTTGAAGAGGTTTTTTTTTTTTGGAAAGTTTATCGTTCGAATAAACTTTGTACTTTCTTAATTATTACAAATTGAAAAAATTGTGCATTCGTAAGATCTCTTATTTTTGGAAGAATTCTTAGCAGAATGAATTTACGGAGAAAAATATATAATTGTTTCTTCGAAAACTTTCAATTATTATGTTTTTGAATATTAAACCGTTAGATTGAGTTTAAACATTTTTACAAGAATTATAAAACTTGTGCAAAGTGTTGGGCCTTTTCTTTTACATCATGTTATATAATAACGCGGTGGAATAAAATATATAGCGTTAGTCGTGATTAACAAGAGCGTAACCGGCGTAATTTTTACATGAAAGTAATTACCGGGAAAATCCGCGAATAACCGTGTAGTCCAACTTTTTCCCTATGACGAGAAAAGTCGCGGTTTTTTTTTTTTCTTTTTCCTCCTCTCTCGCAAGGAAACGACATTTTTACCATGCGAGTATCAAAGTTGTTTCTCTATGCGCATATCCAAAGAACTGAAAAATGTCACAAGGAAAGTCAGATGCAAAATATCACGCGAAAATAGGAAGCTTTTGCAAACAAACTGGATGTTGAGTTGAATTTTTTTTAAGTTTATTAAGAGATACTTGCTTTTTTCGAATTTGAAAATCCGACATTTTTACCGCCATTTTTTTTTTTTTTTTTTTACCATTTCAAATTCCAAAAATATCACGAACGTCGTTTTTAAAAAAAGATGATCCGTCAGAAAGATTCTTTTCTTTCACAATCTTTCACAAACATTTCTTGAAAATGTAACGTTTTCGAATCGAAATTCTTCCGCCATTTTTATTATTTCACTATTTCAGAAACGTAGAAATCCCAAAAATATCACAAACGTCGTTTTTAAAAAAAGATCTACCACGAAACTTTCCAGAAAGATGCGCGTTTAATTTTCTCTCATTTCTTGAAAATGTAACGTTTTCGAATCGAAATTTCTCCGCCATTTTTATCATTTTTCCCCGTCGGATACAAATCTCAAAAATGTCGCGAATCGCTTTGGGGAAGGGAGAAAAAAAAAAAAAAAAAAAGGAAAAATTCACGATCAAGCCACGAAGCTTCGCACAAACGTTGAGGGACAATGCTCGAATAGATCATGGTAAATAGCGAAAGGATAAAAAAAAAAAAAAAAAAAAAAGGAAAAATTCACGATCAAGCCACGAAGCTTCGCACAAACGTTGAGGGACAATGCTCGAATAGATCATGGTAAATAGCGCAACGATAAAAACAAAAAAAAAAAAAAAAAGGAAAGAGATACACACACGTATATTATAGGCGTACAGAGGAACGAACACGAATGTATAGCCACTTCGTTACGACTTGTCTCTGTGAATGGCCCTTCTTTCTATTCATCAGGCAAATGGACTTGTACCATTGTTATTTATTCTTCTGCTTGAAGATATACGAGCGTACACATTGTCCACATCACTGGCAAACAACTTGGCTATCTGGCATTGATGCGGGCACAATACACGCGAAAGATGCCGGTTCGAACGGTTTGACCAGCATCGGGGAACGCACAGTCCAATCTTTTATATCTATAGTTTCTAGAAATAATCCTCCCCCAAATAGGGTTTTGAATATGTGTACAGGTAATTTCGAATCGTAACAACGAACTTAAAATAACCAGTAACGAGAGAGACTTGGAATCGGAAGAAAATTTAGAAAAAAAAATTGTAAGAATTTGAAGATTGTGATATAAATCGGAGTGGTGATTTTATTTTTTCGAAATTTATTTTAAAGGAAATAGAATTTACCTTTGTATTATTGTCGCATTACAAAATTGAAGAAGTAATATTGTTTCTTTAAAATTTGTTCAAAAATAAGACTCGTCTTTGAATTTTTTTTGTTTTACAATCCAATAATGTATCTACAATTTCATCGTTATCATTTCATCTTATTATTGGAATTTTATAGCAATCGAAAATATATATATTTTTAAATTTTTGTTTAAAATCGATACTGAGGAAAACAGAGAGGAATGGACGCGAAAGTTTCGAAGCCAACTTCGATTCGTTCTCGCGAATCTCGACTGGCTTTATTTGTTTAAACTTTGCGAAGTTAAACAAACGGATTCGTAGCAATAAAAAACACGAGGTTTAAAAGTTTCAACCGCGAATCGATATGCGAGCAAAAGAGGCGGGAAAGCGGCGGATTTTGAATTCGAGCGCGAATCTTTCTTTAATTTAAAATTACAAAAAAATTCGACGACCGTACGATTTACAATTATTGTATATCATCAAAAGAAATTCATCTATCTTCAATTGCACTACGTAGAATAAAATTTTGAAGGAATTTTGTTAACTATACTCGAATATTTTTATCATCAAACTACTCGATGATTCTTCACGGGTCGAAAGATGGAGGTTAATGTCGAGGATGATGTTTAATCTTTTCCGTCGCGTATATTCCAGCGTAAAAGTTAATGGAATGCGAAACGCTTGCAAAGCTAGCAAGGAATAAATAAATAATAAAAGATAACGCACGTGACTCGCGTCGAGTAGAAAAAGGAACGATTGCATTTTATACTTTGTAACGAGTTGTTTGTGCCTGTTTTTTAACCGAAGTGCGTAAATTACAGAAAATATAGAATGGAAGGAAACATTATCGGACTAAAAATTTCTTTCGGAACGAAAAAAAGAAACGCGGACGAAATGGCAACGGGAATAAAGTAGCATTAATCCTGTTTCTTCCCCCCTCTCGCCTGTGTAGGGTGGTTTCGCATCACCGGTTATTTCACCGCGTGCTAATCGAGTAGCTACTTTTTTTTTTTCTTTTTCCTTTCATTTTTTTCCACTTTGCCAGCGATTTTACCAACCGGGGCTTAATTTATGTAATAACCGTGTTTTATCGTGTAAAGAAGTAACTATACACGGAGACGTTTATCTTGAATTTCGTATTTTTTTTTTCAACAAATATATTAGCAGAAATAAATAAACATTTATCTTTTTCTTTTTAATTTGATATTTTTTGATCTATCGTGTGACGATTTAACGGATATTTTTATTTTTACTTCGTTATCAGGGCTTGCAAAAAAATTGAATTAACTAACTGATTAATATCAAATGAATCGAATCTATCTAATTTACTACGCGATACGATAAGACGCGATAACATAAAATGAAAAAAGGTCTCTCACCTGATGTTGTTTTCAATCCTTTCAGGGAAGCAGATTAAGGCGTACAAATTTTCCTTACAATTGTCCTGTTTGTCAAATAACATATCCACGCAATAAGTGTCTTGCGTCAACCAAGTTTCTCTGTCTAGCTTCAAGTTTCCATTCGATGTTATCCCAAATGTGTCCTCCATGAGTTCCATATACATTCCGTTTGAACAATTCAATTCAAATTCGATCACCCCATATTCTTCGAGAAGAAGAGAAACAAAGAAAGAAAAATAAAGAATATAAATGCGCGAATAACAAATAATGAAACGAAGGAGGAGAAAATCGTCTTTTTTTTCGCGTTCCATGACATAACTTATCGTATACACAAACCTGTGACGTTTCGAGGTGTCCCAGTGATATTCGAAATCTTGTCGTAGAAAGTGAAATTGCTTATCAGTATCTCCTGGCACGTGGATTTAGGTTTTTTAGAACACTTTTTCACACAGTTGCCGTCCCGACACAATTCTTTGTCCCTGCAGACGCGAACAACTATGCGCCGTTTCGACCGGAAATCCGGCGTCACCGCGAGACACGAGTTCTTCTCTGTGATCGTGAAACTCTCCACGGTTTGGTTTTCCCACGAGTGCACCTTCACCTGGAAAATTACACGGAAAAATGCTTCTGCTGCGAGAAGATTTACCGACCGAGCAACCGGACCGGATCGGGTATACATTCCTGAAGCGCGGCAAATTTGAAAGGCTAAATTGTTTCGACGTTCGCGCAAGAGGAAACTGGGTCTGGCTGCTTGGCTGGATTCTTCGAAATATCTTCTCCGGTTCCACGGATGGTGTGGAACACCTTTTCATGGTATCAGAAAGGATGTAAAGAAAGGCGTTTCAGGAATTCTTGTAACGGTACTTGAGAATTTCTGCATAAACGAATTATAGTTACGTCGCTTTTCGAAGTTTAATCTAATTGTATTGTCAGCAGAAATTTGTTGGCATTTTGTTTATGAGAGATCGTTAAATTAATTGAATTTAAGTGAATTTAATTAATTTAAAATAGTTATTCCATTTTAAAGAATGATCGAATACTTTCTAGCCGAGAATTGTAAAAATGTAATTCAATCGCGATCTCTTAAAAGTTATCGTAAGTAGATCTGTGCATGTGTAACGAGCCATAATTGAACAATCAGGTATCGGACAGAAGAGAAGAAAGAATTAATCAAGCAAGCATCGAAAAGATAGAGACGACGTGGTTGAAAAAGGAAACGGATGCCACGAATCGTAAACTTACTAACGGAAATCATGGGAAAACGGAGGAGGATGGAAAGATTCGAGCATGATTTACGAGGCTATTCTTGCGCCACATGACGAATGTGGTAATCTCGGTGTCGTTTTCACCAAGCGCCAGACTTTTCTTTCTCTTTCTCTCTCTTCTCCTTCCCCGCCTCCGCGTTAACACAAAAATCTTATTTCCGCTCGTTATCTCGTTTTCAATAGACGACATCCCCGGCATTTCGTTTTCCGATCGTTCACCTTGCGAAATAATGACAGAGAAAACGAGGTGTCGACGATCTCGTGTCGACGAGACGCTGTAATAGAGGTGTCGAACTTTTAAAAAAAGCGAAAGAAATTTCATGATCACTTCCTCCAGTTTATGGATGACTATTCCCTTTGACGAGACGTCCTATTCTTTGCGATATATTCTTTGCTCTTTTCGGGCAAGTAGTCGAAAAGTCAACTTCTTTTTTCATTATGATAGTTATTTTTACCTATTGTATCCTTGGATGCAAGAAGGATAAAATATTTAATTAAATCCTTCGTTGTTTCTATATCATACCTCTTGTAAATTTCATTGCTATTTTCTTCAAAACTGGCGAAATTCCCATGAAATTTAATTTCTCCAATATTCATCGATACCATCCCCTTCCTTCAAAACTTAAACTTCCAAAAAAATTAAGATTCTCAACATGAGAATTTTCTTTTCGTTTCCCTAATAACTCCTCTCTCCTCGACTCGAAAATTCGACAACCCTTCGAAATTCCATCCCTCTCAAACGACCAAGAACAAAAAAGATTCATCAAAATTCGAATGAGAGAGAGAAAAAAGAATCTCGGTGAGAGGCGAAGCGTTTATTAGGAAACGGTAGGGTTTTACCAGGCATCGAGTGTGGCAAGGACACGTTCGATTGGAATCAGAGACCGTTCTATCCGTTCACCGTCCGCAATGCGGTCCTTGGTTTCACCGGCGGCGCATCGTTGCTACGCCATTGCACACCGGTGTCCCACCACGCCCCGTAGATTCCCAACCGATGAGTCGAATTTATTTACCACATCGTTCTCATCCTTTCGACGACGGATGGAAAAGGAGAGGAGACCGATCCGCGCCGCTGCGTGCAACGAAAGAGGATCGCCGATATTTATTGCCTCTGATTAAGAAAAAAAAAAAAATCGCACGAGACGTGATGAATTTCGATTGAGAGTATTGGGAGAGGAATCGATCGATTAAGAGATCGTAGTAATATCGAGTTATTGGATTCGAGGCAATGTGATCTCGAGCGTGAAATAGGATTGAAACTTTGGTGAAGGGGGTAATTAGGGGTTAATCCTTACTGCAAGTCCTTGTTTTTGGAATTTATAAATGTTGGGATGCATCGAATTTTTTTTACGCGCGGTGTATGAAGGTATGCGGGAAGTTTGAAACGAGGATTCGTGGATTATTTTTGGATTTGACGTGGGGTGCAAGAGCAAGAGATAGATAAAGAGAATATTTCGAATGTTCGATAGAGGGATAATTAGAGGTAGTTAGAGTTAGTTAAAATCTCTTGTTTATCGGGATTTGAAAATTTTCGGACGTATTGAATGATTTCGCGTACATGGAAAGTTAAATGAGGATTTGTGCACTGGATTATTGGATTTGATGTGATTGTGCAATAGGATACGCACAATCCGAGCGAGAAATTGTGAGATAAAGGATGATATTTTGAATGTTTTATAGAGGGATAATTGGAGGTAGAGTTAGAGCTGGTTAAAAGCTCTGGTGTTGATTGGAATTTGTAAATGTTGAATAGTTTTATACAATATACGGTGATGCATAGAAAATTAGAGGAGGCATTTAATGATAAAATATATGTTTCGAGTAAGAAATTATCTTTTTAAAAATAAAGATTTGACAAAGCGTTTAAAAGTTATGCTGAAGTTATTAGATATAATGTTGAATAGTTTTGTACAGTATATATATATATATATATAGGGATATGCGAAAAGTTATGGATGAAAGAGGTTATGCAAAGGGTTGCCTTGGGATAAAGGTTCGATAGGAAAGGGTAAACATTTTGAGGTGAATGTTGGGTAATGCTTTGTTGGTGTTACGTGTTTGACTAGTTTATTAGTTGTAATTTTATTGATAATTTCTGACGAAGAAACATGTACAACAATATGTTGATTTTACCTTTAAATTTTCGTTCATGGAAAAGGCTAAACGTGTTTGTTTGACGAAACAAATATCGTATTGAATCTGTTTTACGAATCTCATTGAGATTAAATTTAATTTCTTAACATTTTCCAATCGTTAGAATTGACAAAACATATAAATTTCAACGAAATTTAAAAAATAGCTCGCCGAAAATTAATTACGTATTAATTTCGATGAAAAATTATTCGATGAAAAAAGAGGGAAAAAATATTCGATTAGAGAAAAAGACATTAAAAAGAAAGTAAAAATCGTCGATGAATACCTATTTAAATTTACGAAATAAAAAGGAGAAAGAAAAAAGGTCCGTAAAATCTGAATTTTCCACATCCAAAAATTAGAGAAAACGCGAGATACTTTTACCGGTGCAAACATTTGTCGGTAAAGATTTTTTCGACCAACGATTAAACCAACGAGCGAGAGATAAGCCAACGTTTCACTAAACTTCTCGTTGTTTATTTCGTCAGGTAGAACGCAGTACAGGAACATGCATCGCGACAAGAACACGCAAAAATGGCGGCCGAGTTTTTACAATCCGATCGAGGAGGGCGATCAAATATTCTTTTTAGGAAGAAGAAAGAACCGTAAATATTGGCCTTGTATAAATCTGTCTCGCTTGTTTTCGAAACAGGGGGAGAAAGAAAAAAACGTGCAAAAGTTTGAAAAATCCATATTTTCGCGAGAAGGTGGCCGACGTATCTCAAACGAGAGATACGTCGAGAGAAATGTAAACCATGGTTCTTCTTCTCGATCACGATCGAGAGAGAATTATCGACGAGAAAGTTAAAGGAGAACCCTCCTTTTTATCAAATTCGTTATCCGTCAAGGGAGTTTAAAGTTATGGGGCACGAACCATAAAGTTCAAATATCAAATCCTGGATCCGGCCGCTTCCGTTTTCGGGGGTATCGAATCGAACGAAATAGCTAAGCAAGCATTGAAGAACGAAAAATAAAATTTACACGGTATAAAAATGTCGTACAAGATCGTTCGAAACTGGTTTTGAATCAATTCGATGACAACATAAGATAGATACATCCACGTGATTCTGAGATGTTGGATGAATAAAGGAAAAAGGAAACTCTCTGTAACTTTTAATCGAATATAATTTTTCGAAACGACG